TATTTTTAATTTCCACATGCCATTCTTTTACATGTTTGGATTGAAGATTATTTATGATTTTTCTAAAAATAAAAAACCATAATATTCCGTAAATTGTACATATGATAGTTTCTATGTAAAAACCGTCGATATAAACTTCACAGGTTCCACCAGACAAACTGCACGTTTCCTATAGTAGGACGGATAGTTAAAAATATAAGGATTTACTTGGTGTAACTATTTATTATTCTTTCTTACCTTCTCTTTCTGATTATTTGATGTTGAACAAAATATTCTGGGATCGCTAGAACATCGTTTAAAAGTCAGGAATTCGATAAGCCACAAAGCTCCAGTTTTGCTCCACACGTTTCCTAAATTGGATATAGTAGTCAACAGAGTCATATTTGTACCTCCGATTTTTGGATCACTTACACTTGCATAAAATGTCATTGACGTCAGTGTCATTATACTCACAGCTAACTGGTAAATGGAAATAAACATATTTATTAATTTACAAAAATAATATTTTTGTATTTATAAACGATTAAGGTGGGTATAAGAGCTCTAAGGAAACAAAAATATAAATTTGTAAAAAAATCAAACTCAGAGATTGCAAATAGAAATTCTCAAAAATATTATAAACCATACAGGACGTATTATTAGTTTTAATAAAAATACATTTTTTCATTATTTAATCGTGTTTTAATTTAAAGCAATTTAATAAAACTGAAATCTGTAAAAACTTTTAAAAAAACTATGAAGATACAACGCTAAGTATATCAACAAAACAATTGGTAAGTGAATATATTTACCTGTTGTAAAGTGTACATCAGAACTAAAAATACTTTGTACGTGATACGTAATGGCCCGGGCTGAACCAAAAAATAAGGTATAAAGTATACGACAGTTGCTAAAATTACACCGAACAGTAACCTATAGAATAATTTAAAATGTATACTGATTTAGGAAGAAATAATAAATCAAAAAACAATAACTGAATGATAAAATTATGGATGTTACCTTACCGGTAGGGTATTGTATTGAAATAATTTTTCAACGGTTTTTCTTTCGATGTAAATTTTGTAATCAAAAACGGTAAGCTTATATTTAATGGTATAAACAACAAATCTATAGCAGMAACTTCGTCTTTGGTAATTCCACTGTCTATAAGTTTCAATCTTAACGCAGCATCAACTGAACAAAAACTCATCTAAATTAATTTAAATATATTGTATGTATTACTTATATATTATATTGTTTATTATTTAAATAAAAAATACCCTTACTTTTATAGTCAATAAAATTATAGCGAACATCTTGATACTGGGTAATTTCATTATACTGAAAAGTAAGATATACGTTTTGACAATGCTAAGATCAACAGCATTGAGTTCTGTCAAACAATCTTTTTCATACTTAAATATGGCTACCAATGTTGTAATGACTATATAAATAATTCCCCAAAAATAAAAATATCCTAAACAAAATGTCATAATTAAAATAATTATATTTGTATTTTATAAAGGTAATAAATACAAATTAAATGATTTAATATACCTACATATAATATGATATAATTATTAATTATATATTATAGATATATACTTAAATAAATAAGTATTACCTTCTAAAGTAATAACACCGCCTGGTAGAGGTGTAGTGCGCCACCATTTATTCCAAAACGATTCCGATAACAATAAAATTGGCAAAATGTACCCCAAAAATATTCCGAAAGCTTGTCCGGCACCATTACACATTGAAGCATAACTAATATTTTGTCTGCAACAAAATACATTACCTATTAGTATTTAATAGGCACGTGTTACAGTTATCTACTAATATCATATAGGTATATATGGTATGCATTAATTTCTTTCCACAATGATACACAAACCTTTTTAACATGGTTAATGCCCAACCGTCTACAACAATGTCTTGAGTGGCAGCAAGGAAATTTAAAATAAAAAATACAGATGTTAAAGCATTAATATTTATTTTACTACCATTATCTAGCCATTCGCCTATATAAAAACCAGTAATGAAGAAAAATATACCTATAAAATAATCAAAAACGATTAGTTAAAAATGTTAATGCACCTTTTCAATTGTATTTTGTTTCTTTTTTTTAATTATGTGTAATGTAAATCATTTATTTATACCTAAGAAATATTGGACTGGAATCAACCATGACTTTCGTCGGCCCAATTTTCGTATAAATAAAGAATCAACTAACGGTGCCCACAAAAGCTTCAAACTGAATGGCCATACTGCCAAACTAAATTTAGCCTATATACACAATATAAAAAAAAAATATTTTTAAAGTTTTAAGATTTTTTTAAATATTTCGTTTATTATTTTACTTGTTCTTTAAATGATGATCGATGCATGTTTTGTATAATAATGGGTATTGCTAAGGACAAACCTAACGGTACTCCCTGTAAGGTATACAACACCAATAATACAAAAATATTGCGCTTATCTCCTTTCGAATTTGCTCGAACGGGAGTGTCATGTTTTTCGATTAAAGATTCAATTTGAGTAATTTCAATCATCTTCAGCTAAGCTTCACAATTGTCATCTGCTAGGTATGTATAAATATCTGAAACAGTAAATAAATTAAAAACTAATGAATAAATGTCAAATAGTAATTTTTATCAATAACCTAATACTTTTATATTTTGTATGTATGTTATAATAATATATAGTAAATACTGTATGAAATATATATATAATAAATCAAATATTTGTCAAACACTTGAAACTTTAGTGTAGGTTATTCATTATATTATATTTTAACTTAGTTTATAGTATTAGCCACACACGTAATATTTTGTGAGTACTTATAGTTTTAACTTAAAAACAGTAGCAATAATTATGTAACTTGCTGAATAGAGAGGAGTGTGTAATTATATGTATGTATTATACATATGTAATTATTGAACAGAGAAATGTTGCATATGATCAGAAACACTGAAGTTTCGTTTTTAAGCTACATACGATATAAAAATAAGATTAATCTGTGTTTTCATAACGAAAAAATTAGAAACGACCGCACAACATTTATAGATATTCGGGTCATTTATAATTATCAACTTAAGAAATGTCAGAAATGACAGAACTCATCTATACATATATCATTTTTGATATTCATCATATGAATGTTTAAAAATAAGATAATGATAATTAGTAATTACCAATAATTTCTAAAGTACCATGTAGTGCAGGGGTCGGGAACCTGCGGCTCCGGAGCCACATGTGGCTCTTTAACTAGCAACCTGCAGCTCTTTGGATAATTATCAATATATTGATATCCGTAAAATATAAATTATATTATACTAAATAATATTATATTTGTATAAACAATAATAATAATAATATAAATATAAATAATAAAGAATTAATGAAATAAAGTTTTCCATATTTTCTAAATTTAAGACGTATTATTATGTTTTTATTGCCTACTAAAAAAAGGTTGTTCAAACATGTAGTGTGGCTCTTGGATATCATAATTCATAGTTTTGTATTTTTTTGAAAAAATGGCTCTTTCCTACGAAAAGGTTCCCGACCCCTGATGTAGTGGAATCATGGTTTTAATGTATTATTGTATATTTATAATATTATATGTATGGTTGTGTATTTCAACCATGGTGGAAATGAAGCATCTTCCAACTTCTCAAATAATATATTATTTTTTAAAATTAATTTCATTAAAAAAATCACTAACTATAAGAAATTTAAATTATTATTATAATACTATATATGGCACCAGAAGCGGATCTGAAGATCATTTAAGGGAGTGGTGTAACAGAATAAACATTTCCGATTTTCATATTAGAAAAATGCTTTTTTGTATCATTTATTAAGTTTGAAGTTATAATTATGACTTATATGAATTTCATAATCATTATACCATACGGAGCTATATTCAGGTAAAAAAAAACGCTAGGGGGTAATCGCCAAGACGCCCCCTCCTTAAATTCACCACTGTATAGCGCAGTATCTAATTATTACTTTCATTTAATATACCACAAAACATGAATTTTTCGTGTTTATAGACTTATAGTAGTACTTAAAATATACAAAAAAATTATTCTTTATGTAGCTACAAAAATATGCAAAATAAAAAATACATAATTTGTATTAATATAAAGTGAAATCCTAATTTTCTAAATTTTAAGTATAACCTTTTATAATAGTAAAAATTACCTGTAGATAGTTTTTAATATTGTAAATAACACATAATTTTTAAATGTATTCCTCTAATTTTTAAAATAAGTCCATCATATTGTGTACGGCCATTTTTATAGGATAAAATTGTTATGTTAATATAATATAAAATAAATATTTGAACAAACAGGATTAAAAACCTATGCGAGAGACAATTGCCCCACCTTGCCACAGCTGCGAGACGTTCATGAGGTCCAAATAACATTAATTTTAAAAGCTATACGAATTGATTATTTTAAATAACTATACAGTTTAAATTTTAGCTTCTTCATAAAATAAATTTAAATTAAAAAAATAAAATATACTATTATAATTTATAGTTGGAAAGTTTTTTTTTTGAGACGCTTCAAAACTATTACAATTACGAGCACAACACACACTAAATACTCATGAGCCTTGACTAATGTTATGAAAATATTTTGTAAATAAATTCCCTTATATATAACTCGCTATTAATCTTATCATAACAATGTCATGCATTTGTTATTATAATTTATATATAAGTATAATGTACATACAAGGTGTAACATATTACAACGACCTGACAAATTAAAAATATTTTGTTCTAATCAATATTTTTTTATTTGTTATATATATTTAGACCTCTGCGCTATAAGTACGACGTCAATAATTGTTTTTATTTTTAACAAGTATAGGTAGGTATTGATTTTATTTTAATTTCATTAAATGTTTTTGAAAAATTCAAAATAACAAACGTTTACGACAATCCTTTTTTGTTCATACTATTAACATTGTTTTGTATATATTTTTGTTAATGATTCATTCTTGTGAAAAAAAATATTAATGTTTAAGGCCAATAACCTTTGTTGTTGAGGCTCAATTAAAAAAAAAAAAAAAACTTTTATGAAGTAGGTCAAGTAGCTTATTATATATTTTTTTAGAACTTTCAGACATAAGTAAATTTTAAAAATTCATTATCCATACGATTTTCATTATTTTTTTTATACACTTGATATTAAGTGATAATTTTTATTTTTAATTTGTCTGATCTTACTTTTATATCACCTTGTATGCCACATATATTCGTAAAGGTATGTAGTATCGTTGATGATACGTAATCAGTGGGTTACACAGAACACAAAATATTTTATTTTATTTTACTTTACTTTTTTTTACATGCATTACTTGTTGCTACCCAAGGTCAGTTTTTTGAAAAGAAACAATGTTTACATATATATATATATATAATATGGTATTACATATTATACGTATATAGAAGGTATAAAGGCAAGAGAGCGGTTCTCATTTGATAATCTCGTCACTCGGCGGATATGGTGGTTTCGGTTAAAATTTAAAATTTACAGTATAGCTTTTGAAAGCGAAAAACAAGAACAATTCGAAAAAATTTTGACGACATCGAATTTGGTGTCATTCAAAAACAAATTACTGTAAATATTTTTAATTTTCCTTAAATATTAATATTTTCATATACAGGGTGATTCTTTTATCAAACAACACTCTTTATTTAAAAAAGTATTGACTTTTTTCAAAATATTTTTTTACATAGTTTCAAGTTGTTAAAAAACCAACGCTTTTATTAAAAAATTATATTTTTAAATATTTTTCATCATAATTTTTTAAGTTTTTTACTTTTGTGAATGGCAACATAGTTTTTTAATTTCATATTCCAAAGCAGAATATTTTTCTAAAAATTTTGATACATAAAAATCGAATTTATGACTAGTAGTTTATGAGTTATAAGTATTTAAAGTTTAGACAAGCGGAGTAGTGGACAAACATTTTGTAGGGTAACCCCGTGCCACTCCACTCCGCCAATCTAAACTTTAAATACCTATAACTCATAAACTACTAGCGCTAAATTCGAAATTTTAACGTAATAATTAATAAAAAAAATAGCTTTATTAATTTATGAAATTTTAAGTATAGGTTACCATTTGAAAATCAAAAGTTGATAGTGGTTTATCTAATAAATATAAGGGTGAAAAATATTAAAAAAAATAAACAATTCAAGAAAAGCAAAAATATACAATTTTGAAAAAAAAAATTGAAAAAAGTCGATACTTTTTGAAAAAATTAGTGTTGTTTGATAAATCAATCACCCTGTATTTTGACATTTCAAAATATTGTGACACTTTTTGAACTATTTATGACCATGAGAATTTTTGATTTTTTAAGTTTTTTTTTCAATATCAATATTTGACAATATCAATAAATAATTTTTCTCTCAGTCAAAGAACTTGAAATTATAATAAAATGTTCCATATAAGTTGTTAGTAATGTAATCAAAAAGAAGATTAAGTGTAAACCCAGAATAATTGTAATAATGATTGTCTGAAGTTAAAAATTTTAACACAATTTTTAGTTACCTATGAAATTCTAAAAGAAAATTCTCAACAAGTTTTTCTACCTTTAAAAGCTATCGGAAACTAATATTAAGATGTAATGTTTGAATTTAAAATTTTTACTTTAATAGCAGTATATCATAAAATAAATTTAATAATATAGGCTATCAAGACGGGTCTTTCGCTTTTTGAATACAATTATATTACTATTTGTCCACATGTTTAAACCATTACCCAATGAAAACCGCGTTATTATGCTATAAATAATAAATATTGTAGAACAAACTCACTCAATTTCAAAAATGAATGAAGATTTTTGATTGGACGTCATGATGATCGCAAGTCGAAAGTGAAACGATACTATCTATATCGATTTGAAAGCGATATTTACATTTCACAACTAGTTCCATAATAATAGACAAATATTAATTATTTTTGATCAGCCTGTAAAGGTAGTAAGTAGAAAATCCATTTTTCGTGGTGATAAAATGAAAATTAAGTACTCGTGAGTCGTGATGAACTGATGAATGAATGAATGATAATGTAACGCATGCCGGTTTATCCATAGATAATAAAGATATGGATAAGACTTAACGGTCTTATCAGCGGAAATTATGGAGTACGATTTATGCCAAATAAGACGTATATCTATATAAATATAAAAGTATTGATAAAAAGACCTCAATTGCATTCCCTCTGTGAACCGTGAACGCGGCTTCAAATATATTTAACATATTCGTGGTCTGTCCATTTATTTATGATTTATCCTTATCATTTACGTAGATAATATAATATGATAACACGCGGTCATGCAAAAACAAACACGGGTTAGATGTTATAATATTATGTCCGTGATTTAAAGTATAATAGACATAAAAGCATGTTCTAATCTGGTAAAGGTTAGGGAAAAACATAGACCTTATACTATAATATTATACTATTATACTTATTGAGTATAAGCATTGATTATAGAATAGATATTCTATAATCAATGGTATAAGGTCTATGGGTCTATGGGGAAAAAGGCATTTAATGATAAAAGCAGCTATAAAGTTCAGTTTCTTCCAAGAGATATTTAACTTACTGATAAGCGCGGGGAAAACAGTTGATATTCCCGCTAAAAATATTCCATAACTCAAATGGATCAATTTAAAAAAAAAAATATGCTTACAAGAGGTACTGCTTAATTAATTTATTTTGGGGCCTTTTTATATTGAGATTCAAAATAATCGATAACAATGTTTAAGTTTTGAACACCATTACACCGAATATTAAACAACGAATTTAACAAAATTGGCATTTATTTTAACGGGAAACGAAGTAAACGGAATCAACTAGTTATAATATAAATTATAGTTTTAATGATCAAATATTACATGTTAAATAATCAGTCATCAATGCCTCCCATAACGTCATGACAAACTCATTTGATCGACATTGTTCTCACACAGTCACGCATTGTTAACTGTAATCCAGACAATCCGGTATAATGGGTGAATTGTAAAATATAAGAGTGTTGTCACCATAGGCGCAATTTGGTGGGGACTAGAGGGGGGGTTTAGCCTTCCCCCAAATATTCATCCAGCTTCCACATAATAGTTATATAGGTACAAATATAAATTAAAAACTAAGCCATGACAAGCAGATTTTTTCTATTAGTGGGTCTGTGTAACTTATAC